AATCCTTCTTTTGTCATTCTTACTCATTTTCCAGCTATCAGATGCATAGCAAGCAAGAAGACCATGACGTGGATCAGGTGCACCTTAGTCTCTAAACTGGCATTGTTGCTCTTCAGAACTCTTGAGAGGTCTCTGAGGGCAAACTTTCCTAAAGCAACCCGTCTTTTGATTTCTTGACTGCTGGTGCCAAGAGTGTTGATTATGGAATCGAACAAGCTGAAGTTGTTAACAATCTCAATCTTTTCTCCACCCATCATGATGCTGCTGAGTGGCCTGGTAGTGAAAAATTTTATCCTCTTGATGTTGAGCTTCAATCCATATTGAAGACTGCAGTCCTTGACCTTCTGCTGCAAATGCTTCAGGTATTCCTCAATTTCAGCTCGCAAGGCTGTGTCATCTGCATAACGCAGGTTGTAGATGAGTCTTCCACTAATCCTGATGTCGCATTCTTTTTCATCAAAGTCCAGCCTCCTGAATGATATAGACAGGAAAAAAATATGGAGACAGGATACATCCCTGATGCACTCCTTTCTTGATTTTGAATCGTGCAGTGTCCTCTTGCTTTCAACAACAGCTTCCTGGTCTGGGTATAGTTTTCACATGAACACAGTCAAATATTCTGGGATTTCCATTCTTCTCAATATTAGCTGCAGCTTGTTTTGATCCACACAGTGAAATACCTTAAAATGTAGCTGTTTATAGATTTAATTGTGTCCCAAAAATACATTTATTTAATGATTATCATGTGAAAACTGTGTAATGATTTCCCATGATGGATAAACCAGGTATTTACAGGAGAATTAAGGGCAAAATACTATGGAGCCTCGATGCAGTACAAGGAAGTATCCCTAGGGGATATCCTGTAACACCTTTTCTCTCACACGAGATAAAAAGGACACAAATTAGCCAAGCACAGGAGACCTCAGTGCCACGAAAGCAGGCTTGTCAGGAGTTGAGTGTATCCTCCTGAACTTGGGTCTCTGTTCTTTGAAGTTCCAGACACTGGGGATGGCCAAGACACACAGAGGCTTCTGAGGAACACTAGGGCTACAGATGCCTGGAGCCTGACCAGGTCTTGGTATTTTCATTGCTTCCTATGCATCTAAAATTGAAGATGAACAAGAAAACCTCAGAAAAAGCTGTGCCTGTGGGTTGTTGTGTTGATGAAGTGTACTAGATCACAGACTGCCAAAAGAACAAACAAGTCCCCCATGAAAGAGATGCACCCAGGGTGCTTCTGGGAGGTGAGATGGTGAAGCTGCATCTCACTAACTCTGGGAATATTTTCAGGAGAACTGGGTTCTGAGACAACATGCTAGGGGAGGTAGAGGGCCAGCAAAGGGGAGGAGGACCCTCAACCAGAGGATTAATGCAGTGACCACCATGCAGGCTTGCCACGGCAGAGTGTGAGGACAGGACAGGCAGGGTCCACCTCTGCAGTTCATGCAACTACTATGGATGTATTCGATTTGACAGCACCTAATAACAGATGCTGAAGGAGAAAAGGACCTTCCTTCAGAACCAACACAGAGGGTCTCGCCCTACAGCTGGCATCCTGAACCCAGACTTCTGAACTGTAAAAGAACGTGTTTCTGTTTGTAAAAGCCATTCACTTGTGTTATCCCTGTCATATCAACCCTAGAGAACTAAGACTGTAGCATTGTTGAAAATGCACAGGCATACAGCAGTGTCTCTTTAACTTGAACTGAGTGAGTGGTTATACAAGTGTAAATCCTACAGGTGATGCATCCGGAACTTCCATTTTCAGCTCAGACGCTGGACAATGTCAGTCTCACTCTTACAACCAGGGGAAAGATTGGGCAAATGGAATACGGGTGACTTTGCTTGAAGCCATTAGACAAATACATTTTCAGGGGTCACTGCCACTCCAACAAATGCAGGCACATCCAGGAAGTCAGCTTCCAGGTCTGTTGAAATCACTGCAAAGATAATTTGGACTAATTGGAGATTCAGTGTGGAGGAGTATGAGGAAGAGAAACTCCTGGCAGACACAGCCTTTAGAAAGAGGAGTCCACGCATTCATCCCCAAGAAGTTAACAGGTTCTCAAAGAGAGAAGGAAAAGAGATAATTGTGGCTCTGGCGGGGGCCAAGGAACAGTGCTGCAGGAGCACTCTCAAAGCCAAGGTCATTCTCCAGGTTCAAAGGCTCTGTTGTTGTTAAATGTCATTGAGTTACTGCCCATTCCCATGTCCTCCCCATGACTGGATGGGACTCAGACTACTGTGACCCACAGACTCCTCATCGGCTTCTCTGTCTGGAGGATGCACATGTCTAGCACCTTCTAGTCTCCTCTCACCTCAAGTGTCACCTGTGATGGTGAGAGTTCAGGGGTTCGGGCCCACTAGACAGCTGTGATCTCACCACATCCACTCCCACACACCTAAGCCCAGTCAGGGAGCCTAAAATCAGAGGGACCTGGGATGTGCAAGCTAGGCAATCTAAAAGTGGGACCTTTTATTTCATTTGAAAGTCCTAGAATATTTTAAGGTATATGGTTAGTTCAGCAACAAAGTTAGAGGAACTGTATCGGAAAAAGAAGCTTCAGAAAGTTCCGCCTAAGTCTAGAATCATGTTGAATTCGAAACTTCTTTTTCCAAGAGTAGTTCCTGAAACCCTGTTGTGACCTAATCACGTCCCTTACAGAAAGATTTCCCTTCCACTGGGCCTAACACATGCAGGAACCACATGCCCTACTGAAAGCTTTCCCTTCCACTGGGGCCTAACACATACGAGAACATGTGCCCTACAGAAAGCATTCCCTTGCACTTGGGCCTAACAGGTGCAGGATGTCACAATCTAGTCCCAAAGAGTCTTTCCACTGCAGTGAAGCAGATGCAAGCTGCACTGTCTCGGACCCAAAGGGCCTTGGTGTGCAGCATTAGCAAGAAATCTTTACAATGGACCTGCAATTAAGGGAAGACACTTTCTAATGCTGTTGTTGGTACGTGTCATCGAGTTAACGCATAGCAATGCAATCAACAACAGATCTGAACCTTTCCAAATCCTGAACCACCCTCAGAATCTCGGACAGGCTTGTTCCCATCGCAAGAGTCACTGTGTCGACCCATCCTGTCAAGCGTCTTCCTGTCTGTCTCTGACCTTTCATCTTTCTCATCACGATGTCCTCTTCCGACTGGCCCCTCCTGACAGCTTGCCCCAAGTATGTGAGGCGAAGCTTTGCTGTCTTTAGGTCTAAGCAGCCGCCTGGTTGCGCTTTCTCTTGGACAGACTTCTTGTTCTTTTGACAGTCCAGACGACATCCAGCACACTTGTCCAGCACGACCATGCAGAGGTCTGGATTCTGCCACCTCCTTGCTCTTTACGCCACTCTCCAGTTCCTGGAAGGCAGTGGGAAAGGCCATGGTTTGGATCAGGCTCACGTTAGTCTTTAAAGGTATCAATTATATGGTACCAGAAAAAAAAAATCTGCCTGGTCACATTCTGGGACATATCCTGAACATATCATAATCCCACTTGTATTAGAGGCAAAATTGGTGAAATGAGGCAAAGTCTGGGAGGAAGGAATGGTTGGGTGGAAAAAAATCGTGTTACCGGCAAAGATCAGATCAGAAGCTGAAACCAGGGCAAATCCATGTTAAACGTCGATAAAAGAGAAGAATCAAGCAAAGTAGATAAACCCCTACCCCACCCACTCAAAACTGGGTCCCAGAAAACACTGCTGCATAAGGAGGGTTGACCTGTGGAAAGCAGTATGGCGCTTTCTCAAAAAGTTGCAAATAGAGATACCATTTGACCCAGCAATTCCACTACTGGGAATATACCCTGAAGAGACCATAGCTGACATCCAAGCAGATATATGCACACCCATGTTTATTGCAGCTTTGTTCACAATAGCAAGGAGTTGGAAACAACCTAAGTGCCCATCAACAAACGAATGGCTAGAGAAGCTGTGGTATATTCGCACAATGGAATACTATGCTGCATTAAAAAACAAGGAACTCATGCAATATTATTCAAAATGGTTGACTCTGGAGAACATTATGCTGAGTGAAATATCCCAGTCACAAAAGGACAAATATTACATGATGCCACTGTTGTAGAATGGGACTGTCCTTGGGGTTGGGGAGAGACTGAGTAAGATGGGTTCAATAATGTATACTGCACTGAAACAGAGGAGGGAGAGAACCATCTAAAAGAGAGATGTAACTGGGTATTTCTGTCATCACAGGAGACTAGAGCGAGGGCTGCATGGTGGAGGGGACCTGGGGGAGTGTTTGTAAAACAATGAAAGAATCTTTTCTTTTACTTTTCCATAATTTTTGGACTCATGTACTTATAACTTGTTAGTCAAATTTGTGTCTTCTAGGTTGCAACACCCCCATGATACATCTTGAAGGATATGTACATGTACAGCCAAGCACAATCAATAAGAGTGCATCTGAATTCCAAAATCAATCTCCATAATAGTCTATGTGTTTCCTACTGCCAAAGGGGCCCTTTAGAGTAGTGAGAGAAGATCTTCACCCTGAAACCCACAGTGTCCCTTTTCAGCAGGAAGTAGCTAAGAGAATACGCCATCCCCTTTTCCTTATGACTCAGGGTGAAGTCTCTCTCAGGGAGGAGTGATAGGGAATGGCAAAGGACACACTGACAAAGAAGATTAATCAGAACTGGCTTTGACAAGCACTGTGGCATTTGGACAAGAACAAACTGGGAGGAGGGTGGAGAGAATAGTGCAGCAGTGAATGAGTGGAAGCCCAAAATCTCTGTAAATGTTTATGAAAATTAATAAAATATAATTATAGAAAAAAAAAAAAGGAGGGTTGAGCCTCACGCTCCTGACACGCATAGTCAAGGTTGTCCACACGGCACGCTGATTAGCATTCTAGGCGTGAGACACTCAGGAGATCAGGGAGGTCGGGAAGAGTAGACAGCGCTAAGAATCGCCGTCCAATCGTGACCTTTCCAAAGAAGGGACAGGTCAGCTGCATCAGCCACGGTCCGGTGCCCTCCACAGCTTGGCTTCTGGAGCAGGGCGTGAAGCCCTCACACTCGCTCCCGCAGCCTTGTCTGTCTGATCAGCCAGCCGATGGCTCCCTGCATCTGCTGCTCCAACAAGCCTGGCCCACGCCAAACCTCAACAAGGACAAGCAGCTGGTCTTCGAAGGGCCCCCACACTGCTGGACATGGAAAACAGCTCTTGTAAGGCTGCTGATATCACTGTGCACAGGGTAGTCTACACTGTACACTGGGCCCGTCTACACCACACTCTGTGCTAGTGCTGTAGCTCGGACATCATCCACTCGAGTCCCTCCCACATGGTGTAATTCTTAAGTGGGTCAAGAAGCCTGAAACCAGGTGCCAACCCCCTGGATTAGTGTGTCGTTCACGTCTCCCTGCCAACCCAGACTTCTAGGTTTCCTTCCTTGGAATTGTGTTACCAGCAGAGTCGTGGATATCCCACAACTGAGGAAGGGCAGATAACTCTGTCTTGAAGGAAATGCAACCAGAATGCTTCAGAGGCGAGGAATGCAAACCTTTGGGCATATTGGTAGGAAGGACCTATCCTTGGAAAAAGATCTCAAACTGGGAAAAGTAGATTAGTGCAAGAGAAAGGCCCTCCCCAGGAAAGAGGGACATGGTCAATGCAACAACGGCCTTGAGCAAGAGATCGGGAGGACGCCACAGGGGAGGGCAAGGCTCCAATCTATTGTTCACAGGTTACTATATATCATAGTCCATTCATGGAACCTACAGTAACCACAGCAGATACCCTGCCATTAACGTCCCTCAAAGCCTTTCAGTCAACTATAAACTTAAAAATGTGTATTACCCATTCCAACCATACAAACATGTTTGTTCAAATACTGCAAAAGACCACTGTTATAAAAACAGAAGGACAACCAGCAAGTAGATAAAGCCCGATGTAAGGGTCAACAGAGACCAAAGGGCAGACGGGGCCTATGACCAGACCTGACCCAAGCAAAATGAGGAACAGGTAGCATTGGACCTAAAGAACTTGGGGTCCTGACATGCACAGTAAAGACTGTCCGGGAAGCAACCTAATTAGCATTTTAGATGCTCTAGAGACTCATCATGGGATGAGTGACATCAGGAACGATGGGCCAGGGGTAGGAAGTATCCATCAGAGTCTTAATTCCTGCAACACCTCCTATTTGACTCAAGCCCTAAGGCATTCCCAAATATGGAAGAGAGCTGGTGCTATGAATCCTGACCTTGGGCACATTGTCCTCCAGGAGAATGACCCATTCTTCTATCCAGAACTTAACTATCATATGTCCTCTTCACTCAGTCCTGCACATAGTGACCATTTCTTTCTACAGAATGTCTCTTTGCTGATAAATTGCCTTTACTTTGACCTTCCCTCCTACCTTAGCTTCCCTCTTGACAAGCTGGATGTCCCATTGAGTCTCACTGCACTCCAGCAAAGGCTTGGCCCATGATGGGACTATTCCCAGCAAGACAAACAACACTTCTTTAAGATCCATTAAAACCACTGTACACGGTGCCACTGCTGTAGCTTGGACATCGGCCCCTCTCACCCCTCACACCTGGTTTACTTCCTCAGGTGTGTGAGGAAGACCAAGGGTGAGACATCATCCCCACGGTAACAGCGTGACAACATGTTCTATGATGAATATTTCTCTAAAGACAGTTAACAAAATTATTAATATAAACACATGATTATCAATCATTTCCCTTCTAAATATCCATGCTTATGAAGATAAATGAAATATTATCTTTGAGCTGAGTTATTATACAGGCATGGTATATTAAAATTTATGAGGATGATGAAAATGGTGGGTGAGGCGAAATTTACAGGCCTAAAATACACACATCAGAAATAAATAACAAACTTGACTAAGAATCCATACCTGCATTCCTTTGATAACTAACCCTAAAAAGAAAGTAACATGTATAATGCTTAAAATTAATGAGATGGAAAAGATACAATAAAAATTATCAACAAAGTAAAAAATTTCTGTCTTTAAAAATATTATTACATTTGACTAATTGCTGTCAAGATAAATGAAGCAGAGAAGAGAGGAAGCACTAACTCCCAACAGAGAAAGGAAAGAGTGAGTAATTCAGAACCCTAATTGTCTCACACTCACAACACAGCACATTTATTGGGCAGGAACTGCCACCTGCCTGAGTACTGAACTGACAAGAGTCAAACTGCTGTCAGAGAAAAACCACGCTTGTCTCCTGTGCCCTTCCTCCTGCAAAAGTTCCTTTATCATTTCCCCATCTCTTTGTTGTTGTTGTTGTTGTTACGTGCCATTGAGTCGTTTGTGACTCATAGCGACCCTATGTATAAGAGCCCTAAACACCATTCTATTCTGTGCCAACCTCACTGTCTCAAACACATTCATTCCCACCACTC